TCCCGGTCCAGTGGGAGCCTGCTTGGACTGAGGCCGAAGCAGCCCCCCCTGGAATTCCTGAGGCTGAGGGGAGCAGGGGGTGGGGCTGTCCCTCCACTCTGACCCCCTAGATTCCAGAGCCTGGTGGGGAGGGATGTGGGCCTAGGGACCTCCGGGAAGCCTGCCCTGCCGCCGTGACCCCACCTGGTTCCCACTGCTGCTGCCCTGGTGCCCGCCCATTTGTGCAGTAGCAGCTCCATGCCTCTCTGCTCTCTGCTCTTTGTCCCAGCCTTGGGGCCTGGTCGCCCCCATCACACTCCCCAGGGCAGGGTTGTGTTTCTCCCATCAGACTAGAGGCTCCTGAGGTTGGGGTCATGATGACTCCTCTCCTCTGCCCCCCGCCCCTCCCCACTACTCTCCCAGCCTATGAACTGTTTTTCCAAATGTCAAGGGAAACGAAGCTAAACATTTGGGGTGGTGATGGGTAATCTTTCTTCATGGGGGACTAGCTGGGCAGGCCTCCCTTTTCCCCACCTCCTAAGGAGGTGCCACCCACATGCCCCGCACCTGGCAACCCTCCTATGGGAGTGACCACGGGGAACTGATGACTCCCTCCCTGAAAGGCAGGCTGTGAAGGGTTAAAGAAGGGCCCCTTCCCCTTGGTATGTGCTGCTCCCCCCAGGCTGAGGAGTGGGTGGGAACATAGGGGTCTGTTGCCTTATAGCCACTCATGTGGTCAGCCCAGACCTGAACAGTCACATTCCTGCCCCTGAGGACTAGGGCTTAGGGTGGAGGGGTTGGGGCCTGGAGGGGGTTGGGCTTATAGAGAAGAGGCTGGGGACCCAGAGGCTGGGGCTAGAGACTGCTGGGAACATGAAAGTATTGAGCCTGAGTATACCTGTGCCTCAGTCTCCCTGCTTGTATTCCCCTCAAAACCTTCCTCGTGGTCCACATTTCTGTGGCACAGGTACATACCTGGTCTCAATTCTAAACAAAGAAGAGTGTGGCAGAGACAGTTCCTGACATGCAGAGAAGCACAGGGACTTGTGGGTAGCCGCCAGTGTGACTTTCTGGTGCTTGGGGGAAGTTGGCTGGGTTTTTGGCTGGGTCAGAGGCTCTGAGATCTAGGGTGCAGAGGAGGCTGTGTGAGACAGTAGAGCGAGACCTGGGCGGGCCCCACAGAGCCTGGTTCTCTGCCCAGCTCTGGACCTGACTCCTCAAGGCCTCGGTGCCCTCATCTGCAGGACTTGAGCCAGTGGTCTCCAGAAACCCTCCAGTCTGGTTAGCCAGTGGCTATGGATGGAGGGATGACGGGTGGGGGGCAGTGGTCTAGAGGGGCGTGGGAACTTGCCAGCTCAAGGGGGAGTCTGCAACGTGATCCCAGAGCAAAAATAGCCCAGGTCATTTTCAGCTGCCTGGGCGGAGGTATCTGATCCCAGCAGGGCTGGGCAGGGGGCAGGGAGGAACCTTCTGTAAAGTCCTCTGGGAAACCAGACCCTAGGATGGGAGAGCTGGGAAAACTTGGCATGCCTGGCTGGACTTCATGGGACCTTCAAGGCCCTGGGCAAGAGCCCAGAAATCGAAGGATGAGGAATGCAGAGGGTTAAACAGAAGGTAAGGGCTGACTCCAGCCCCCTTTGGGTCCTGGCCTGGATGAGGTGAAAGGTCAGCCCCAAGGAGTCCAGGCACAGCTGGGGAGAGAGTAACCCGATCCTTCTCCCAGCCAGGCTCTGGGGATCACAGAGCTGCCTCCCCAGGAAAGGTGCTTTGACTTTCCTAGGAAAGGGTTTGTTTCAACTTGTTCTCAGCAGGGGTTGGGGGAGGGCTCCGGTCCTTGGGGTCAGGCAGACTTCCAGCAGTGTGGCAGTGCTTTGTCATCCTGGGGTCGGGAGGTGGAGGTGCGTCTGCTGGAAAGGTTAGAGGTAGCCTGCTTTCTCTCTCTCTGTCCCATTGTTAATGACTCTGACAGCCAACATCAGGGATGGAAGATGCTTTAGAGGTGGGAGGCTTTCCCTACACACGGCCAATGGGTGGCTCTGCCCAGTTAGTGAGAGCAGTCTGATCTCCCACAGTGACAGTGAGATGTGTTTGGGGTGGGAAACTCCACCCCAGCCAGGAGATGGCTTTGCTGCCTGTGGTTGTGATGATGTGGGTGTAAATTCGGTGTGATGGGAGGTAGAGGTGATCCTATGTGGAAGAACGTAGCCGCTGGAGTCAAACTTGATCAGGGTTCAAATTCTTTTCTTTACTGTAGGCAAGCCTCTATTTTCCCACCTACAAAATAGGACCGAGGGAACTCACCATCCGAGGTAATTTTGAGGATTGGCGCAGAGTAAGGGCACAGTGACAACTTCACCTTCTTGAGCCTTACTGTGTGTCAAACATCTGCCAAGTAACTGACCCACCTCATTCTGTGGCGCTCAAGGAATCAGTAAGCTATGGGTGGGAGAACGTGGCCTGGTCTGTGTTTCTCGGGCCTGAGACAGCGTGGGACAGCCAAGGGACTGGGGAGGGGGTGAATGGTGTTGCGTATGTGGCCAAGGATAGATCAGGCAGGGTTCTCAGGCAGCCTAGAGCCCCCACTTTCCACCCCAGCAGGCTTTGTGCGCCCGTGTGTGGGTGTAGCTGCCCCTGGCGCACGCCTGTAGGTATGTTTGAGAAGGCGCAGTCATCTCCAGAAAGAACAAGTTGCCTTTTGTACCCATCCAGACCCGGCTCTGGACTGAACCTTCTCGGGGGGATCCCCTGTCTCCGCTCCCCGCCCACGGACAGCGCCCTGACCGCTCCCGCTACGGGCCCCCACCTGTGGACCTGGATGGCAGACTAGGTAGCCCCCCCTCCTCCTCACTCTGCTCCCACCCCGACGCGGCAGGCTTTGGTCAGGGGTCTAGGACAGCTGGCGTTCCCGAAGCCCCCGCCCCTTGTGACATCACCCCAGGTGCTACCAATCTCCGGGAGCCCTGCCCATGAACGGCCCGCCCCCTCTCAGGCACCGCGCCCAAGTGTCCCGGACGCGCAGTGGGTGGAGGAGGCTGCTGGGCCCGCCCAGGAGGCGGGGAGACCGCTGAAGGCTTCGCCCTTCCTGCTCGCGGAGAGGCTGAACCTGAGAAGAGCCGTAGTCTTCACCGCCGGCCTCCCTGAAGGTGAAGACTGCCTCTCCACCTTCTTATTCTTGGTCCAAATCATGCCAAGTACTATCTTCTGCAAATCTTCCCCAAACTGTCACCCACCCCCCTCCCACCGAATCTCTTTCTGATGACCTGCCCCTTTTAGTGGTTCCTCCCTAACAGCCCCAATGCCAGTATTACTTCGGACCCTACACTGCTTGGGTGCGTTTTCAGAGCCTCTCACCTAACAGCCCTGTGGTTGCTTTCTACCTCCTTCATTTGGGAGGCCCTGAGGGACGAGGACTGGCGCAGACTTGGCACCACCAAGCATTTAGGACGAGCACACAGAGGCCCAGGGTGGGAACATACCTTGCCCAAAGTCACACAAGTCAGTGGAACAATCAGAGCTAAAGCCCAAGGCTCCTGGCTCCCTTCACCTGCTGACTCTGGTGTGTGACTAGAATGGGGACTAGCAGAGGGATGCTATAGGCCTTCCCTCCTCACCCCAGCAGAATCGGTCCCCTGCTCCAAATCCATGCGTCTCCTA